GCCGCTCCCCCAATCTGCACACCAGGAGAAGACGTACCACATTCTTCTTCGTCCGCGCAAATTCTTTGCCAAGCTTGCGCTCCACCAGCGCCCAGACCTTGTTCAGCGTCACCTCGTCCTCCCAGATGAAGACCACGCGGTTGAGCGTGCGCTCGTCCTGGATGATGCGCAAGACGTAGTCGCCGATGTGGAAGAGGTCGGTTACCGCGGAAGGCACGTCGCCGCTGCCGATAGCATCGCGTGTCATGCTGTCTGCGATGAAACCGGTGATGTGTGCGGGGTAGGGGACGACGAGCTGCATCCACCACCCGACCTCGATGAAGGTGTGGCCGACGCCGGATTGCACGATGTACTCGCGGATGGCGAGTTTCTATAGGATAGTTCAGTGATTGTGCGCACGAGATGATGGATAGGAATCTGCGTACGTCGTCTTGCAGTTTCATGACGCCCGCGGGGGTATGGGTGGCAAAGTCGTCGGGGATGAAGCGCTTGACGCCAACAGCCTTGGCTGCGTCTGCGATCTTTCTCTGTGCCTCAAAGCAACTTGGAGGAAGAGTGGCGATGGCGGTTTCGGCGCCAGACAGAATCTCCGTCAGTCGGTCTTGCGTCACGGTGAGCAAGTCCGCCTGGTGGATAGTAACGCCGCGCTCTGCGAATGCGACTAGGCTGGGATTAATTGGATTGCGAACGACCGCAGCGACTCGCTTATGAGAAGGTTAGCTTAGATTGAACGCGGCGTAGAATTGGAATGTAACGCACAAACGCATCGCTACGCAAGAGACTTTCCATGATGACACGGCCTGTCTCCCCGGATGCACCGAAAACGACCACAAGAGCTTTCTGCTGAGACATCTTGGAGCTGTTTGAGCGAGTGAGCGCGCCGACAATGATATTGGACGAGCTCTTCATGTTCCATTCTTATACTTGGCGAGTTCGGGCTTGAACTCAGCCTAGACAGCACTGATGCCACAAATTCAATGGAAAAAACGCTACCATAGACGCGGAGGTATTACTGTGCAACAGGGAGCCTGACTGTAATTGAAGTCAGCACGAGATCAGGGCGTGAGGAGGAGGTAGAATGCTCACTATACATACGGTAATGCCGACTAGCTCGGACAATATAAGCCTTTAGTCAAGGACATATCACGGATAAAAATCAACGTCGACTGCAGCCTCGCTCGCCTCATTCGATGATCAATGTGGTTTGTAAAAAATGCTCAGCGATACTGTCAGCATGTCTGGATTAGGACGACGGTTGACACAAGATCCTGAGAATACATAGCCACATAATGGTCTTGTAGATGCGGTGTATTTGAACAACTTCATGAAGGCTTCGAACCTCGACAGTCGATCTGAAGTTCAGCTGATGAAAGACAAGAACAAAAGTCAACACGATGTTCTCACGCTGCATTGAATACACGTGACCAAGAACCTTAATTTTTCCTCTTGATCATCGACGACGACGAGCTCGACGACGACAACGACGAAGGACACCCACGATGGCGCCGTTCTCAAAGCCCGAGACAGTCCTCAAGCAGGCGGAGGGCCTTGTCTCCGTCGGCCAGTCCCATGCTGCGCTTCAGTCGCTTACCGAAATGTTCTCCTCGAAGCGCTTCCGCTCGACGCCGCTGGCGAGCCTGGAACCCATTATGAACCGTTTCATCGAGCTCTGTGTCGAGATGCGCAAGGGGCGCACCGCGAAGGAGGGACTCATGCAGTACAAAAACATAGCGCAGAACACCAGCGTGCAGAGCATCGAGGCCGTCGTCACCCGATTTATCCAGCTCGCCGATAACAAGGTCAAGGAGGCCCAGGAGAAGGCCGCGACCGTCCAGGTTGCGCTTGACGTCGACGATCTCGAGGCGAGCGAGACCCCGGAGAGCATACTGCTCGGCGCCGTCAGCGGCGATCAGAGCAAGGATCGCACCGATCGCGCGCTCGTTACGCCCTGGCTCAAGTTTCTCTGGGAGAGCTACCGCACGTCCTTGGAGACTCTAAAAAATAACGCGCGGCTGGAGACAATATACCAGGTGTGTGCAGTCTCCCATAGCCGTCTACCGTACTCACCCCCATCAGACCGTCGCCCAGCAAGCGTTCAAGTTCTGCCTCAAGCACCAGCGCAAGGTCGAGTTCCGCCGCCTCTGCGAGACCCTCCGCCTCCACCTCGCCAACGTCGCCAAGTACGCCCACCAGACCCACAGCATCAACCTCTCCGACCCGGACACCCTCCAGCACCATCTCGACACCCGCTTCGCCCAGCTCAACACCTCCGTCGAGCTCGAGCTATGGCAGGAGGCCTTCCGCTCCGTCGAGGACATCCACAACCTCCTCACCCTCGCCAAGAAGGCCCCGCGCCCCGCCATGATGGCCAACTACTACGAGAAGCTCACCCGCATCTTCCTCATGAGCGGCAACGCCCTCTACCACGCCGCCGCCTGGGGCCGCTACTACTCGATCGCCGCCAGCATCGGCGCCAAGAGCGAGGAGGAGATGGCCCGTCTCGCGGGCCAGGTTCTCGTCAGCGCGCTCGCCGTTCCCGTCGGCCTGCACGAGGTGGAGGAGGTCAAGGGTAAGAACGCCCGCCTCACAGCTCTGCTCGGCCTCAGCAAGATGCCAACCAGGGCCGGTCTGCTGAAGGATGCGGTGGGTAGTGCTATTCAAGAGTCAGACATCCGCTGACCGCTTCACAGCTCGCCAGAGACGCCCTTCGGCAATCCCCGGACTCAGTCAAGGAGCTCTACAACATCCTCGAGGTCACCTTCGACCCGCTCTCCATCTGCAAAAACGTTGCGCCGCTGCTAGAGACGCTCTCCGCCCCAGCTTCCGATGATGTGCCGAACCCTTACGCGTCGTATCTTCCCCTGCTTCACCGTGCGCTGCTCTCGCGCCTCCTTAGCCAGCTCGGGCAGATCTACAGCACCATCCACCTCAGCACGCTGTACTCGCTCGTCGAGCCCCTGGGCGTCCAGGGCGAGCAGGTCGAGGCCTTTGTTGTTGGTTGCGCCCACCGCGGCGAGCTCGGCCCGGGCGTCAAGGTCCGCGTCGACCACATCGAGGGTTGCGTCATCTTTTCGGACACGCCGTTTGTGTCTGGGGAGGATGACGAGATCAAGGACCCCTCGTCGTCGACAACCTACACGAAGGACACCAGCGGCCTCATCCAGACCAGCGTCCGCGACCTCGTGCGCACGCGCCTTAGCAGTGTCGCGGAGTGCCTTTACAAGTCGCTCAACGTAATTGAGCCGCCCGCCGAGGTTGAGGAGGATGCGGAGGCTAAGTTCAAGGAGCTGGCTACCGCTGCAAACGCGGAACGCAAGGCGCTGCAGCTGCGCCGGGCGGTCGTGCACCGTCGCCGCGAGCTTCTCACGGAGCTTACCATGCGGAAGGAGAAGGAGGACCTCAGCCGTCGTGCGGAGCTGACTCGCAAGGAGAGGGACGCGCAGGCGACCCGTGCGCGCGAGGAGCTCAAGAGGAAGGAGGCCGAGCGCGCCAAGAAGGAGATCGAGGACATCCGCGTCGCGCAGGCCAAGGAATACGCGAAGAACCTCGTCGATATGGGTATCTTGAAGACGGCTGACGTAGATGTGCGTACTCTCATATCGAGATCGGGAGAATCATCACTAATTGTCTTTGCAGAAACTCGAGAACTACGACACGGAGGCCCTGATCACGATCCAGGTCGGGCAGCTCGAGAAGGAGAAGAAGGAGCTCAACGAGCGCCTGACGCGCGTCTCGAAGCGCATCGATCATATCGAGCGCGCCTACCGCAAGGAAGAGCGCCCGCTCCTGTCACAGGACTACGAGCATCAGCAGGAGACGGACCGCCGGAACTTCGAGTCGTTGCAGGAGGAGCGCAAGCTCAGCGCGAAGCAGGCGCACGAGGAGGCGCTCGCTACAAAGAGGCGCCTCTCGCGCATGTACGACGAGTACGACGCGCGTCGCGCTGCCATTATCGCGAAGAAGGGCGAGGAGTTTTCGAAGAAGAAGGAGGCGGCGGCGCGCAAGATAGAGGAGGAGAAGGCGAAGCGGCGCAAGGCCGTGCTCGCGCAGCGCGAGGAGGAGCGCAAGCAGATGGAGGAGGAGGAGCGCATACGTCGGGAGCAGGAGGAAGAGGAGAGGAGGCAGGAAGAGGGTAAGTCTGACCGTTTGTGCCTACGGTTATCATCTCACGCAGGTTACAGAGCTCTTGGCCGAGGAGGCGCGCCGGCGCGAGGAGGCCGAAGCAGCGAAGGCCGCCGAGGAGGCCAAGAAGCGCGCTGTAGAGGAAGAGGCTGCCGCCCGCCGCGCAGAGCGCGAGAAGGAGCGCCAGGCTGCTGCCGAGCACGCCCGCCTCCAGCGCGAGCGCGAGGATGAAGCCGAGAGACGGCGACAGGAGAGAGCCGCGGAACGCGCCGCGGCAGCGCAGGGCCGGCCGACGCCCGTCGCGCGCGCTTCCGCCGCCGTGCCCGACGCAGGCGCGTGGCGGCGAGGCTCCCCGGCTCCGGAGCGCACGCGCAGCCCTGCGCCTGCGGCGGCAGCCGCTGAACCTGCCCCCGCGAAGTACCGCCCGGGCGCGTTGGGTGGTGGAGGGTGGCGCGCGCGCGAGCAGGCGAGGCAGGCTGCTGGTGGCTCGCCCTCGCCGCGCCCCGCGTCGCCCGCTCCGGCTCCAGCTTCGCCTGCGAAGGCGGACACCCCGAAGGAGACCCCGAAGGACGACGATGGGTTCCAGACGGTGTCCTCTGCTCGCGGCGGCGGGGGTGTCTGGCGCCCGAGGCGTGGTCGCGCCTGAGCGCTGAACGTGTGTGCACGGTGTTGTACGATGGGTATGCTTTCTGTATAGTAGTATTCCTATGTATTCATGCTGCTATCCTTGCTATGGAATTTATCATCTGAGACTCGCTGTTGTGGTCGCAGTGCGCCGTAGTGCTGAATGCGTCACCCTGGCACAACCCCACTAGGTAGAACTTCGGAGTAAAAAGATGTGCACGGCTGACAAAAAGATACATCGATATAACTGCGAATACACCGGACGAGAATCGAACTCGTGCCGCTTGCTACTAGCGTTGCATGGAAGGCAAGCATGATAACCACTTCACCACCGGTGTAATAATTAATAATGAAATCTGTAATATAGTCGCCACTAGAATTACCCCAATTGGCAATTTGGCTTTCTTCTCCTCCAAGTTGTCTTCTGGTCTTGTCCTCGAATGTCCCGTAGTGTCATGCCTCGTGTGCAGAAACGACGGAAAGTCGATCATACTGCATCAGATGATGTCCCAGTCAAGCCGGAGAACGCGCTACGAAAGACATTGACATCGACTTCGCGATATGCAGCTCTTGTCATCGGGCCAATTTCAACCAAGACGCGCTTCAAGTATGCTCAAGGTGTGTACCAAGCGCCTTTCCATAACATGGTAAACTCACATAACGTGCAGATGCAATCTCATGACGTGCAGTATCTGTTCAAGGACGTGCACGCTTCGTGCAACTGGCGTGCCACAGACGCCGCCACTGACCTCTGCCCTCCCTTCAACGCCCACCCCCAAACGCAACGCCCTTGGTCCTGCTATAAGTATGGCCGTGCTTGCGGATAAATGTGTCGACTACGTGCCCATGATACAAGGCAAGCGCAAGAAGCCTTGCGAGCCCGAGAACGACGACTTCGTAAGTGTTGTCTCTAGAAAGGAAGCAACTGGATTCGCGCCTGGCTGCGGTCGTCTGATCTGCAGAAAATGCTGCCTGGAGATGGTGGAAGGGTGCGTTTATCTGTTATATGTGCACAAGACTTGTTGTGCTAAAGGTCGACCTTCTTTAGAATTATGTGCCGCGACTGCAACTAGGCGGATTACATTTACCATTCGTCTCCCTGCCGACATCATTCCCGTACCATCTACTCTTTCACGCAGGGCACAATCTATGTCCACTCCGACCTCAACCTCCTTGTATCCTTACGTCTCTACACCGAAATTAAATTTGCTCCTGTCCCTCGAACATGAGTGAGCCCATGCGTACTTGCTGCCAACAACTTCTGGTCGGGCATCACCAGCTAACCGACGTCCTTCTCGAAGTGATTTTCGCGCATCGATGCTTTGTATGCTATGGTCAGTGCTGGGTCGAGTCGTTTTGCTAATGCTCCCCGGATTCGGTAGGGTCGTTGATACATCGACAAGATACATAGGCTGTCCGCCGGCGGATATATTCCCAATACAAATACGACAACTTTACAGTTCGAGCGCGATACAGAAGTGAGTCGACGATACAACGGCAGGACAAGACACCATAGCTCAAGATAGGTATAATGGTATGGTACGCCCGTACAGTCCGAGCTGACCTGATGTCAATATCGGGACGGAAACGGCAGCAATATGAACGGGACAGAGAGAATGCAGATCCAGCAGTGAGTAAACGATACAACTCGGGCAGAACAAGACTGAAGAGCTCAAGATAGGTACAATGGTATAGAACGCCCGTACAGTCCGAGCTCGCTTGAAACCAACATCGGGAAGGAAACGACATCGATATGAAGGGGATTGATCCGGTCAGTGCGAACGCAACATGGGTTTGGTGCGGTAAGTATATGCTGGGCGCCGTACGAGCTATCGTAACGACTGGAAGGGGTCGAATCGGTGCGGGATGTTCACCTTGAGTTCAAGACGTACCTTGATAGAGCAGGCTTAGCAGCTATCCTTGACGAGGCTTCTTCATCCTCCTGTGGGCAGTCGGATACTGCACATTGGTCGGAAACTGTGCCACGGACGGCGAGGCATCTGGCTGGTCCTTGCTTGCCTGCCTCTTCGGTGGAGATACCAACCGCCGCGCTCGAGGTCCCAAATCACTGGTAGTACGCTCTCTGGAAAGGCCCACTGCGGGCGGCGCCAATGATGGCCCGCCAGTGGGAGCACCGTCGAGGCGCCCGTGGCCTGGGTCTCTTGTAAAGGCTTGGTGGGACACAGGCTGGGCAAAGTCGCGGGCGCGGTAGGTTCCCTGCGACGGATGGCCGTTGTGCGTAGCATGCGACGCGGAAGGCGTGTATGGGTTCGCGGTTGGGATGGGAGGAAAATATGAGTTCGACAGTGATGCAGAAGAGGTCGAGATTTGCGTGTTGTGGTGACCCGTCGCGGTCGGCACGTTGTGGTACCCGTCGAAGGAAACGGGCATATGCGATGTGGACGGCGCCGATTGTGAGACACTGTTGCCAAGGAAAGCAGTCTGGTGAGATGCGCCACCTTGATGCTCTCCCGACGCCTCAGCAGACCATGGACCGTCAGAAGTCGGCTGCGACGGTTGCACTGCGGAAGAGGAGTGAGATGCTCCGCCGTGATGGTCCCTCGGCGCCTCAGTGGGCTGCGGGTCGCCATACGGCTGGACGTGGTAGGTGCCCTGCGACGGATGGCCGCTGCGCGTAGCAGTCGACGTGGAATGCGGGTATGTGTTCGTGCTCGTATTAGGAGGGAGATATGAATCCGAGGACGAGGGTTGCGTGTAGCCGCTCGCTGCGATCGCCACGTTGTTGTACCCGTCGAAGTAAACGGGCATGTACGATGTTGGCGGCGCCGATTGAGAGACACCGTAACCTGGCACAGCAAACTGTTGAGGTAGTCCGCCGTATTGCTGCTCCGACGCCACAGCAGACCTTGGCCAACCGTCAAGAGACGGCTGCGAAGGTTGCGCTGCGGAGGAGGAGTGAGATGTTCCGCCGTAATGGTCCCTCAGCGTCTCAGCAGACCGCGGGTCGTCGGACGGCTGGACAGGGTAGGTGCCCTGCAACGGATGGCCGCTGTGCGTAGCAGTCAACGTGGAAGGCGAGTATGGGTCTCTGCTCGGAGTAGGAGGATTATATTGGTGCAAGGATGCCGCAGAAGAAGACGAGGGTCGCGTGTAGCCGCCCGTTGCGGTTGCCGAGTTGTAATTCCTGTCGAAATAATCGGGCATATGCGATCTGGGCGGCGCCGACTGTGAGACACCTTCGCCTGGCACAGCAGACTGGTGGTATAGTGCGCCGTTCTGCTGCCTCGGCGCTTCAGCAAACCTAGACCAATAGTCAAAGGACGGCTGCGATGGTTGCGCTGCGAAAGAGGAGTCAAAAGCTCCGCTGTAGTAGCGGCCCAGCGCCTCAGCAGACCACGAATCATCGTGCTGCGGTAATAATTGTGCTGCAGCAGAGGACGAGCCATCATGACGCTCTGTCGTCGGGTCTACGCCAGCATTCATATGCGATGTGGACGGCACGGATGATGACACAGTAGCGCCTGCCACAGCAGAGTAGTGCAGAGGTTCTCCGCGATAGCCGTTCGGTAGTTCAGAATACGAAGAGGTGGAGTGCGAAGGCGGCTGAAATGGCAGGCAGTGTAGAGAAGGATCGTGAGTGCCTGAAGCGTATTCTTGTTGGCCGTGATCACTTGCCATTTGGCCATAGTTCGCATTGTCGAGCTCCTCGTATTCATCGGACGCCGATGGGAGACCAATACCCCAGGCGACATAGTCATCTTGTGGTACGTGCCGAAGGGTCGACAATGACTCATGTTGCTCAATGGGTAAAGCCTCGCCGCCTTCGATATTGTGATACGGCGTTGCATCGAGCGGGGACGTGAGCGAGCTGGCTTCATAGCCCGCCGAGGCGTTGTCGAGCAGTGGCGGTGTATCGTGTTCGGCTGGAATGAACGTCGGCTGAGCAAGACGATGGTTTGCCGAAGATAGCGGCTGCAGAATGTGTTGCGGGGGGTGACTATGCCGCGACTGATGAGCTGGCGGCGGCCCCGACCGCTGTGGATACCCGCGGGTTGTCGGTAAGCCTTCTGGTTTATAGCCCGATGTTGGCATAGGACTCGAGCGGTGCTGAATAGCATCCGCGCCGCGGTCAATGTCGCCATCCCAGCCATTTGCCCACTGGTTGATGTTCTCGAGAAACGCAGCGCCGTGGCCCGTCGATGAACCCATGCGCGAGGAATCCGCGATATAGTCAAACAGTCTATCCACATGTTGGGGATGGGGGGCAGGAATGTTTGATTCGCGTTGGTAATAGGCCATACTCGCAGCATATCCATCTGAAGTTGTGCGCGAATGAGTGATATCGGGGCGATTGGCGATGTGCGGGCGTGTGACAGGAACCGTCGCAGACCTTTGTTCATGAGGTGGTGCAGCATTAGAACCTGCCAGGGGATGATCGGCACCACAGTCGGTGCCCTCGAGCACAGTAGAGGTCGCTGATAGATATGGATCAGCCGACAGAAAGAGTCTGCGGGTCAACGACATACCTTCATATGCGTCGTTCTCGTAGTCAGTTTCACTGCCCGCAGATGTGGTGAAGGCGTGCGACGGAGGCGGCAGGGTGCCGGCCGTGCTAAAATGTACGGATGCCCCATCGTCTCCACCGCGCATGCTATACGGATAGGGATGTGATCGTATCGTTGATGGAGATGTGCCGTAAGCGGCCGTACGTTGCTCTGACCGCCGTCCCATCGTGTCAAAATCTTCGAAGTCGAACACAGGAGGCGACTCCGCATAGTCGGCGTTGTTGAATGGCTGACCGCTCAAATGCTGCAAGGGACGCTGATAGGTTCCAGGAAGAGACACGTCAGCAGCCTTCGGAATCCGCATTTCAAGCTCCTTCGCCTCCGCTCGACTCTTGCGCTCAACATCTGTCTTAGCGATCTTGTTGCGAGTTTGTCGTTCCAACACGTGCAGCACCTTCTTCGGCTCCATGCTTCCAAAGGCCTCCTTCAGAATTTCCGGCTTCAGCAGCAGCAGCGGATGCCCGTCCTGGTCCGGATCGGTCATGTCTTCCAAGTTTACGATACTGGGGAAGCAGGCAATGACGCGTAGGACACCATATTCACCGGCGAGCTTCGTGACATTGGGCGGTTCTCGGAGCCGATCGAGTATCATCTGGTTCCGCTTGAGTGCCAGTTCGGGCGTCGGTTGAGTCTACATTCGAGTCAGAGAGGACCATGCAATTTGGAGTCAACAGCCACCCACCTTTGGGATGAAGAATAGACTAGGCGTAACGGATCCCGCAGCAGCCTGATCAATCTTGGTGCTGCACTTGAACGTGCTGGCGGTCACGGGCGTGTCGAACTTGCACTGGACGGCAACCCATACGAATTCG